ACACACACACACACTGTGCATGCCAGGGCAGGATGGGCTGATTGGGCGAGTTGACAGTGCTGGCGGTGACGGCAGCAGCGGCGTCAGGAGTGCAGGAGCCGCCGAAGCAGAGGTCGCCCTGGCCGGCGGCGGGCGTGCCGCAGATGGCGCAGGCGCCGGCAGGGCGCTGCACGATGCCGTAGGTGCGGCAGGCGGTGGAGTTGAGGAAGCAGTTGTTGTCGCCCGCACAGAACATGAGTGGCAGCTTCGGGAAGGTGCCCGAGAGGAAGTTAAATCCCACGTCCAGAGCCAGCAGGGTCTTGGCAGGGATGGGCACGGTGCCCGTAAGGTAGTTGGAGAAAAGGCCGCTGCCGGGGGGGAATGGGGGGGAGCGGAGAAAGTTGGGGGAAGGTGGTGAGGGGAAGGGGAGGGGGAGTGGATGAGGAAATGGTGGATGAACAGCGGATGGGGCATGAGGAACGGAGATTGTTGTGAGTGGAGGGTAGCTCTGGGCTTTCAGGTACAGGGACCAGGCGGTATGTGAATTTTCGCTGTGAGTGATGCCGCTGGGTTGGCTTACAGTGAGGTGAGTTGAGGAAGTGTGGCGATGGCAGAAGGAATCGAGCCGGCGAAGTAGTTGTAGTGGAAGAAGCTGTGATGGACGAGGGGAGGGGGCATGGGAGCGAAGGGACAGAGGAGAATAAGTGGGATGGGATACGAGAGGAGTGACACAGGACAGACAAATCATGCAGGCTAGCTGCAGTAGCATGTGCAAGGCTGGAGCAGCAGGGGTCTGATTTTGGCGCCTCAAACTCCGTAGCATGTGCCAGGCGGGAGCAGCAGGGCACAGCACGCACTGGGCATCCAACAGAATGCATGCAGCGCCATAGGCCGTGTGAGAGGGGAGTAAAGGAAACACGTGAAGCGAGAGTATTTTTGAGACGTCTCAAAATTACTCTCGCTTCACGCGGTCTTAGAGCATCCAGCAGAATGCATGCAGCGCCATAGGCCATGAGAGGGGAGTAAAGGAAGCAGGTGGACATGGTGGAGGGGGCGCCGGGCGGTCTTACAGCGCCTTGAGCGACGTGAGGGGCTTGAGCGGTGCGGCAAAGAAGTCGAGACGGCCCTGGAAGAGGTTGTAGCCCAAGTCACTGCGGCAGGGAGGGGAGGGGGAGGAGAGGAGGGGGTGGGATGAGAGGGGAAGAGGGGAAAGGGAGAGCAGTGTGGATGGGGACCCGCTTTACAAATGGACACAGCCCACCCACTGACAAGGAAAGCTGGCATACTAACAGTGCACCCAGTGACAAGGAAAGCTGGCATGCTATGCACAGTGCACCCACTGACAAGGAAAGCTGGCATGCTATGCACAGTGCACCCACTGACAAGGAAAGCTGCATGCTATGCACAGTGCACCAACTGACAAGGAAAGCTGGCATGCTATGCACAGTGCACCCACTGACAAGAAGCTGGCATGCTATGCACAGTGCATCCCAAACTCCCATTCGCCATGTCAATATCCTCTTCTGACGTGCGCAGATGGGACGTGTTTTGAGCCGACTCAAACACCTCCCAGTCGCCCTGTCACTATCCTCTTCTGATGTGCGCAGATGGCACGTGAGTGCGGTGGGCTTACAGGTAAGTGAGCGTGGTGAGCTGGAGATGTCAGGATGAATGACACCCTGCAGCTTCTGCCGTGTGAGCGCACTGCATGGCAACGAGGGGGAGGAGCCAAGGATGAGAGGCAGGGGAGGAATGAGAGAGGCAAAGGAGTGGGAACAAAGGCATCACCACCACACTGCGTGGCAATGAGGGGAAGGGACCAGAGTGAGAGCCGAGGGATGAATGAGAGAGGCAAACAATGGGGGAGTGGGCAAGAGCAGCACCAGCACAGCACCCACATCCACACGTTGCTCCGTCTCCCTCTTGCATAACGCACCCACCGCTCTCTTCCGCCCCTTCCCTCCTCCCACTCACATGCTTCTGACTTTACCTGCAGGCGTGCAGCGCATGCCGGCCCACTGTGAGGGCTTTTGAGATGTATCAGCCCCTCACAGCCCCAACTCATCCCCGCACTCGCATGCCCTGCGCCCCTCACCAGCCATCCCCGCACTCACACGCTCGGTGACTTTGCCGGCAGCGGTGCAGCGCACGCCGCCCCACTGCGCGGGCAGGAGCGTCTGCCCCTCCAGCGTGCACAGCGCTGCCGCATTCCAGTTGCTCAGCGTCACGCCCAGCGACGACTTGAGCGCCAGCAGCACCGTAGCTGGTGGGGGAGGGGGGGAGAGAGATACGGAAGGGGGAAGAACTGAGTCTAGGGATTCACATCGTCATGCCCAGCGACGACTCTTGAGCGCCAGGAGCACCAAAGCTGGTGGGGCAAAAGGGCTGACAGGTGGGGAAGGGGGAAGGCAGGTTTTAACGTTGACACAGGCATGGGGTTAAAAATACATGAGAGCGGGTGGTCAGAGGCTAACAGGGCTAAGTAGAGTGCATGCGAGAGGCAAGGGCCTGTGCATGGTTAGCTGTGGATGCACGGGTGGCTGTAGGTGTGCAGGTGCCTGTGGATGCACGGGTGGCTGTAGGTGTGCAGGTGCCTGTGGATGCATGGGTGGCTGTAGGTGTGCAGGTGCCTGTGGATGCACGGGTGGCTGTAGGTGTGCAGGTGCCTGTGGATGCATGGGTGGCTGTAAGTGTGCAGGTGCCTGTGGATGCACGGGTGGCTGCAGGTGTGCAGGTGCCTGTGGATGCCACGGGTGCCTGTGGGCATGTGGACGCCTGCTTTTTGAATGCGCTCACCATCAGCAGCGTCGATGGGGACACCACCGCACACCAGGGGCAGTGTGGCCGAGCCCATAACATTAGGCGTGCCCAGCGCGGCCGCAGCCGCAGAGTCAGGCGCGCACGTGCCGGTGCCGCCACAGAAGGGCGGCTGCGCGTTGGTTGAGCCGCAGATGGCACAGTCTGCTGCGGGGCGCTGTGTGGTGCCTCCCATGCCGCAGACAGAGGGAGTGGTGAAGCAGTTGGTGTGGCCGTCGCACCAGCTGAGAGTCATGCTTCCCATGGTGTAGAAGAACGTTTCCGCGCACGTCCAGGGTTTTCAGAGTGGGCGAAGCTGGGAAGCTTCCAGTGAGGTAGTTGTAGCCCACTCCACTGCAGGAGGCGGGATGCGGAGCGGGATTGTGGATCCGAGGAGTTGAGATGGGAAGAGATGAGGCTAGAGTGGGCAGATGTGTGTGCGAATGTGAGGAAATGTGGCAGAGACGGGAGAAGCGAGTTGTGATGCGGCGTGGGTGGGCAGCTGAGTGCGAGAGCGAGTGAGGAATGTGTGTGTGCGGGCTCACAGCACACTGAGCGATTGCATGTTGAGGAGTGCGGCGGGCATGGAGCCATAGAACCAGTTGTACTGCAGGAAGCTGTGCGGAGGAGGGCGGGGGAGGGGGGAGGGAGGGAAGGGCAATGAGGGGTGGGCAAAAGGCAGTAGAACCAGTTGTGCTGCATATAGCTGCAGGGGAGGGAGGGAAAGTGGGAAAACGGCAGTGAAGAGATGACACGAGGCAGTACGGGAGGAGAGGGACGTGTGCGAGGTGGGCTAGACGACAAGGGCAGAATGGACCCAAGGGACAGCAGAGAGAGAGAGGGCAAGGTGGCAGAACGGAGGATGGGAAGGCGGGGAGACCGAGGGAGCAAAGCAACGGAGGCAGAGTGGAGAAGCACACTAAGGCTAAAGAGTTTCACAGGCAGCGACGGAAAGCACAGACCCGTGTCCTTGAGGCTGCTGCGTTTTACAACTCACTAAGGCTGGAGAGTTTTTACAAGTGTCAAACATGACTCACAGCTCCTTGAGGGTAGCGGTGAGTGGAGGGAGGTTGGCGGTGAAACCAGCCAGCGGCGCCTGAAGAGCTGCTTCGTGAGATGCCTGCAGGGGCGCACACACACAGCCAGGCAGGGGCGCACACAGAAAGATGGGGGGTTGACAGACAGGAGAGGCGGATTGGTTGACAGCAGGTGGTGGTGAGTGGAAGGAGGTTGGCGGGTGAAACAGCAAGCGGTGCCTGGAATAGCTGCTTCATGAGATGCCTGCAGGGGCGCACAGAGCCAGACGAGGGGGGGCCAGACAGTAAGGCGAGGGTGAGACAGACAGTAAGGCGAGGGTGAGACAGACAGCAAGGCGAGGGTGAGACACAAGGCGACAGGCGCACACAGCAAGGCGAGGGCGCACACAGCAAGACGAGGGGCGCAAACAGCAAGGCGGGGGGGAACAGACAAGAGAGGCGGATTGGCCAATAACAGGTAAGGAGCAGAGAAAGGGTGGCGATTGGGGTGGAGGCTGTACAATACAGGAGCCTTGGTGCACGGGTGCAGGGAGAGATGACAAACTGCTGAGGGTGCACTCACAGGAAGGTGACGGGTGCGGTGCACTCACAGGAAGGTGACGGATGCGGTGCACTCACAGGAAGGTGAGGCCTGTGAGCTTGGAGATGTCAGCAGGAATGCTTCCTGTGAGCCCATTGTTGGTCATCTCGCTGCCATGACAAAATGGCAGGTGGGTAGAGTGAGAAGCATGTTACACACAGGAAGGAACCCATGACATGTGGTGCACATGAAAGGTCGACCCTGTAACGATTCCCGACATACTCAAAATGCTTCCAGACCTGCTGCCCTGTGTGCCCTCATGGCTCGACAACGCCCCGACGCCCCGCCACTCCCCGGCTGCTCAGCTGACGCTGCTGCCACTCACGCCCCACCACTAAATGCGTCACCACTGCACTGCACTGCACTGCACTGCACACTCACATGCTCACGATTGCCGGCCGTGTCACAGAGCACATCCAGTTGGACCACGTGGGTGTGGACGATGCTAATTTTGAGGCGCCTCAGAACTAAACTATGCACGCTCACATGCTCAAGACGTTGGCCCTTGACCTTGCACGTCACCGACGCTCGTAAGCTGAAGAACTCCATGCCCCCAACACCCCATGCCCCATTACCCCATACTCACATGCTCAAGACGTTGCCGGCGGAGTCACAGAGCACGCTGGTCCACGTGGGGATGGGCGCTGTTTGGCCCTTGACCTTGCACGGCACCGACGCCGCCCACGTGCTGAACGTCACCCCCAGGGACGACTTGAGCGCCAGCATGGCTGGTGGCGACGGTGCATGGGAGGGACGGGCAGATAGGACAGCAGTCGCGCGGGTAAGAGAAGATTAGGCGGTCAGGCATGGCAGCAGGGTAGGTAGGTAGGTAGGTAGGTAGGTAGGTAGGTAGGTAGGTAGGTAGGTAGGTAGGTACTGCATGAGGTGGCAGTACACTGCTCACCACCCACCGCACAGCTCCCACCGCCCACATCTCATCAGAAACCGATCACCACCCACCACCCACCTCTCCCTACCCACCACCCACCGCCCACCGCCCACCGCTCACCCTCGTCGGACACCGCTCACCACTCATCAGACACCTCTCCCCACCCACCACCCACCTCTCTCCACCCACCACCCACCTCTCTCCACCCACCGCACACCTCTCTCCACCCACCGCACACCTCTCTCCACCCACCGCACAGCGCTCACCACTCAGTGCTCACCTGTGCTTTCTTTGATGACCACCACCGAGCCGCCCGCACACGCCATCGGCCGCACGGGCTGCGTCGGCGAGTTAACAGTGCCGGCAGCGATGGGTGCAGCCGCGTCCACCGCGCACACTCCCCCTGCCCCCGCCCAGCAGAACGGCCCCACGCCGTTGGTGGTGCCGCAGAAGGCACAATCCGCTGCAGGCCGCTGGGCGGAGCCTCCGCTGGTGCACTTGGAGGGCGTCAGCAGGCAGTTGCCCGCGCCCCCGCACCACGTGTAGCTGGCTGTGGGCACGTCTGTGAGGAAGTTGCCGCGCACGTCCAGAGTGAGCAGCCCAGAGGCGAGCGCTGGCACGGTACCGGTGAAGTAGTTGTAGACCGCACCGCTGGGGAAGGGCATTGGAGGGGCAGATTCATTACGGGAATTCATAAGGAATGGGCAGATGCATAACGGGAATTTATCAGGAATGGGCAGATGCATAACGGGAATTTATCAGAAATGGGCAGACTGGACTGCACCTTCACCAGTAGTGGAACAGCTGCAAATAATGAGTTTCGGAAACAATTAAAGCTATTAAAACATAAATTAAAATATAAACTCCTCAAAAGCGCTCCAATATATATCTCCCTATCAGACTTACAATTGAGTGAGTTTCGGGAGGCCGACAAGGAAGGAGGGGATTTCTCCGTACAAGTAGTTGTAGTGCAAGCGGCTGCAATAGGGGCAGAAGGGAACCGATGAGGGCCCGACGGGATGGCAGCATGTGGAAAAAAGGTTCCATGATTGTTCCAGAAAAGTGAGAGCGTGAAAATATGTCGGCCAGCACTCACATGTCGGCCAGCAGCACTCACATGTCGGCCAGCACTGGCAAGGCTCGGAGGTTGGTGGTGAAGGAGTCGAGGCGGTAGCTGAGGAGATTGCCCTGCAGGTTGCTGTGGGGGAGAGGGGCGAGCAGGGGGTGCAATGTCGTGGAGAATTTGGAACGTGGCTGAGAGAGGATAGATGAAGCAGTGGATACGACAGCAGAAAACAAAGAGGATCAAAACAGCCAGAGGGCAGAGCAGGTAAGACACAAAAGACACAACTCACACGTAAGTGAGTGCTGTGTTTTGAGTCGACTCAAAAGACACAACTCACAGGTAAGTGAGGGCTGTGAGCGTGGAGATGTCCGAAGCAAGTGATCCCTTGAGCTTCGAGTTAGCCACAGCCCTGAGGTGCACAACGGTTGGTGGCAGGACAGAGCAATGGAGGATACGTGCAAGGGCGGGTGAGCAGATGAATATGGTATGCAGGTACGGCAGGCAACGCCTGGAAGCAGCATCACAGTGGCCAAAGGAAGCACCCAGTCATTGGGCACGCTGCCTATTGTTTAGGCGCCTCAAAAAAGGAAGCACCCACTCACCAGGCACACTGTCTCACATGCCCTCACAGCATCGCTCATGCACCGGCTCTTTTCATTCACATGCCACAAGGACATGCACGAACCACTGGCATGTTTGATAAATTGATTATCAATGAAGTCCCGATGGCGATTTACATGCCCAATATGCCGACTCACATGCTCACGACCCTCCCAGTGCTGTCACACAGCACGCCACTCCACACTGCAGCCGTGGTGGTCTGCCCCGCAAGTTGGCACGGCACAGTGGCCGCCCACGTGGTGAGGGTGACACCCAGCGAGGCCTTGAGGGCGAGCATGGCTGGTGCGGGGCACACGGGGGATGGAGGAGGGATGAGGCGCACGCAGGGGATGGGCCAGCAAGGCGGGAAGCAGGCGGTTGGGGGACGCCCCGAGGAGCACGTCAGCAAGTGGACGGGGTTGCATGGGCCCTATGGTGTGGGCACTTTTCCGGCAGCTTTTATGCGGCAAGGCAACGGCACTCGGCCATCGCATCACACATCCCCAATGAGGCCTGACGCGCAATGCCCATCTGTTGTGCTTGCAGACATCTGGTGCTGACCTGCCCTCCCAGCAACAAAACGTGGCACTCACTGACAGGCATACAATGCGGTCAACAGCCAGCCATGCACAGTGCACAGCCCATGCCACGCCACCTCCTCCCTGTCCCCTGCCCCCTGCCCCCTGCCCGCTCCCCCCTGCCCCCTGCCACCTGCCCCCTGCCCACCTGTGGTGTCTTTCAAGGCCACAACCGGCCCGCCCACGCACGCCCTGGGGAGCGCGGGCTGCGAATTCGGGTTCGTAGTACCGGCAGCCACGGCTGCGGCCGCGTCAGGCGTGCACACCCCTCCCGCTCCCCAGCAGAACGGAGGTGCGCCGTTGGTGGTGCCGCAGAAGGCACAATCTGCCGCAACCCGCTGAACCGTGCCGCCGGTGGTGCACTTGGAGGGCGTGACGAGGCAGTTGAGATTGCCTCCGCACCACGTGTAGGCCGCGGATGGGAGGTCGGAGATAAAGTTGAAGTTGAGGTCCAATACGAGCAGTAGAGGGCCGAGCGGCGGCACGGTTCCTATGAGGTAGTTGCCGGGAGCGCCGCTGGTGAAGGGAGAGAACAGCGCAGTGAGGTGGGAAACAAAGGAGGGGGAACGAGAGGGGGGGGACGAAGGGCAGTACAAGGAGTGAGCAGGCAGAGAATAGGACGAGGCAGGCGATTGTTCGTTTCAACGCAACACGAAGCAACATAGCGCAACACGAAGCAACACAGCAAAACACGAAGCAACATAGCGCAACACGAAGCAACACATGCATGATATCCTGACCTCCCCGACAGACTAACAAGTGACCTGCATCCCAGCAGCACACTACCATCCCTGCATGTTTTCGCCAACATGTGTACAGCTGACTATTATGCATTTCCAGCAGACTTACAACTGGGTGAGCTTCGGGAGGCCCACTAGATACGCGGGGATTTCACCGTAAAGGTAGTTGTAGTGCAGGCGGCTGCGAGAGAAGCAAAGAGACAACGAGATGAGTGGTGCCGGCACATGCGAGACGATAAGTGGTGGCGGCATGTAAAAAGCATGAGGCGCATGCATGCATGGCGACTGTGGCGCCTCGAAGAGGAAAAAATCGTGTAGGCATGAGCACAATGAGAGCAGAAAGGGGTTGGGAGATTGGGAGTCATGGAAGCAAGGCTGTGGCAAGCCAAGACAAAAAGATCATAGTCCTGCTCTCAGCCAGCCCTCCCCTCTCCAACCGGACACACTCAGGCACTCACAAGTCAGCCATAAGTGGCAAGTTGCGAAGGTGAGTGGCGAAGGAATCGAGGCGGTAGAAGTGGAGGTTTTGCTTTAGGTTGCTGTGAGGCGGGAGAACAGGGCGAAAGGACACGAAGGTCATCATGGATTTGCACGAGGTAGCTGTGCGGTAGGAGAACAGGGTGGGAAGGGTACAAGGCCATTGTAAGAAGGCAAACTGCACACATCATGGTTCGCCTAGGCACCATGTTGTACGAATCATGGGCATTTATTTACTGCATGATATACGGATGGATCAGCAGCACCTGCAATAGGAAAGAAGCAGGAGCAGCCAGTCCTGCAGATGGAAGCAGAAGCTGTGATAGTAAAACGGATAGAGACTGGTGCAGCATGGCAAAGGCGACTCACATGCAACTTTTGAGGCGCCTCAAAAGTCGCCTCAAAAGCCGCCTCAAAAGCCGCCTCAGAAGCCGCCTCAAAAGTCGCCTCAAAAGCGTTTTTGAGGCGCCTCAAAACTGGCGCAGCATGGAAAAGGCAACTCACATGTTGGTGAGAGCTGTGAGCGAGGCGAGATCGGAAGGAAGCGAGCCCTTGAGGTTTGCGTTGTTCACAACTCTGCAGCACAACAGTTTGTGGCAATGCGTCGGGGGGACACACGCAACGCAATGGCAGATGGGCAGATGAGAAGAAGATGAGCGTGGGGTCCATGCGGCAAGGTTTTTGAGGCGACTCAAAAGGGTACACTGTAATGTTCATTATTATTAAAACAGCTGCAATAAAACAGCTGAAACAGAGCATATACATGCAAGCAGTGTCAAGCTCTACAGATGCCCCACATGCCTTGCCGATGTCCCACGCTCTCACATGCTGCAAGCATGTGCAGCAGCCAGCGGCTTCCAGGGCCATGCAACAATGCTCCACTCACTCACTGGTGAGTAGGATCATTTGTTCCCATACAGACGAAACCAAGGCCCAATCACAACCTCACATGCTAACACCATGACTCACATGCTCACATGCCAACACCATGACTCACATGCTCACATGCTAACACCATGAATCACATGCTCACATGCTAACACCATGACTCATATGCTCACATGCTAACACCATGACTCACATGCTCACATGCTAACACCATGAATCACATGCTCACATGCTAATACCATGACTCACATGCTCACATGCTAACACCATGAATCACATGCTCACATGCTAACACCATGACTCACATGCTCACATGCTAACACCATGACTCACATGCTCACATGCTAACACCATGAATCACATGCTCACATGCTAACACCATGACTCACATGCTCACATGCTAACACCATGACTCACATGCTCACATGCTAACACCATGAATCACATGCTCACATGCTAACACCATGACTCACATGCTCACATGCTAACACCATGACTCACATGCTCACATGCTAACACCATGACTCACATGCTCACATGCTAACACCATGACTCACATGCTCACATGCTAACACCATGACACACATGCTCACATGCTAACACCATGACTCACATGCTCACATGCTAACACTATGACTCACATGCTCACATGCTAACACTATGACTCACATGCTCATGGCACTGCCAGTGCTGTCACAGAGCACGCCAGCCTTGGTTGCCACCATGGTACTCACACACACGTCGGACTTTTGAGGCGCCTCAAAAGAGAGTGGCACTCACATGTCAGACACCTTGCCAGTGTCCGTGCAGCGGACGCCAGTCCACTCATTTGCAAGGGCCACGGTGGATTGATCAAAGCGGCACGGTGTGGTGGCGGCCCAAGTGGTGTACGTCACTCCCAGCGAGGCCTTGACGTTCAGCATGGCAGCAGCTGCAGGGGGTGACAAGTGAGGGTGCACGGCACTGTGGTGAGGCGCATAGGAGCGTGGTGAGGCGCATAGGAGCGTGGTGAGGCGCATAGGAGCGTGGTGAGGCGCATAGGAGCGTGGTGAGGCGCATAGGAGCGTGGTGAGGCGCATAGGAGCGTGGTGAGGCGCATAGGAGCGTGGTGAGGCGCATAGGAGCGTGGTGAGGCGCATAGGAGTGTGGTGAGGCGCATAGGAGCGTGGTGAGGCGCATAGGAGTGTGGTGAGGCGCATAGGAGCGTGGTGAGGCGCATAGGAGCGTGGTGAGGCGCATAGGAGCGTGGTGAGGCGTATAGGAGCGTGGTGAGGCGCATAGGAGCGTGGTGAGGCGCATAGGAGTGTGGTGAGGCGCATAGGAGTGTGGTGAGGCGCATAGGAGTGTGGTGAGGCGCATAGGAGTGTGGTGAGGCGCATAGGAGTGTGGTGAGGCGCATTGGAGCGTGACAGGGCACACAGGAGTGTGACGGGGCACAAAGGAGTGTGACGGGGCACACTGGAGTGTGACGGGGCACACAGGAGTGTGACGTGGCACACAGGAGTGTGGAGGGACACAGAAGTGATGCGCGCAGGTAGGACAGACAAGGGGCAGAAAGCGAGCGTGTTCCAAATTGGGAACGAACGAGTAGGAAGGGAGGCAGCACAGACCGTCAGCGGGGTTCATGGTGATGGGCGTGTAAACGCACGACAGAGCCACCTCGCCTCCGTAGTTGTTCTGCTTCGCTGCAATCTTGGCATCAGCGCTCGGCATACAAGATTGCCCCGCTGCGCACAGCGTGCCGGTCCCGGCAGTGCTGCCGCAGATAGCACAGGAGGACCTCTGGAAGGCATTCTGGCAGTTGGCCCCCACGCTGCCCAGGCAGTTGTTTGCGGCGTTGCAGTAGGACCAGGTGCCTGAGGGAATGGAGCCGACGAAGTAGTTCTGATAGAGGTCCAGCGACTTGATCTTTGTGATGCTTGTTGGGAGCAAGCCCGTAAGGTAGTTGAAGCGGAGTGCCCTGTGGGGTGGGGAAGCATGCGTTGTTAGCGCGAGTTGATAGGAGTGTGGTGTGGATGGATTGCTTGCTGTATGCCAATCGCAAATGCAAACAGCTGCGCGGCTTCAAGACACAGAGCTGCTCTCATGCCCAAAAAAAGACGCGCCTTCGTTCTGTACTCACAGACTGGTGAGGAGAGGTAGAGTGGTGAGCACACTGGGGAATGTCCCGGAGAAAAACATGTATTGCATGGCCCTGGCAGATGAGACGAGCGGCACGCACGCACACACGCACGCATGCGCACGCACGCACGCATGCACGCACGCACGCGCACGCACGCACGCACGCACACGCACGCACGCGCACGCACGCACACACGCACGCACGCACGCACACATGCACACACGCACGCATGCACACACACACACGCGCGCGCACGCACGCTCGCACGCACGCACACATGCACACGCACACAGGCACGCACACACGCACATGCACGCACACACGCGCACACAAGCGCACATGCACGCACATACACACACGCACACAGGCACGCACACACGGATATCAGAAAGAGTAAAGGCTTCAGTGGTGAGGCGTTAGCACCACCAAGTGGCCTAAGCTGCTGCCCTCAAACGCAGTAAATACCTACCGCATGAGTTTTCGAGCTGGCAGTATGCATGGGACATCTATGGGATGACATCCATGAGGCATACATGCATGGGAAGACATACATGGGAAGACATGCATGGGACGACATGCATGGGAAGACATGCACGGGAAGACATGCATGAGAAGACATGCATGGGAAGGCATGCATGGGAAGACATGCATGGGACGACATGCATGGGAAGACATGCATGGGACGACATGCATGGGACGACATGCATGGGAAGACATGCATGGGAAGACATGCATGGGAAGACATGCATGGGAAGACATGCATGGGAAGACATGCATGGGAAGACATGCATGGGACGACATGCATGGGACGACATACACGGGAAGACCCACACAAACCCGGCGACACTCACAGTTGATTCAGGTTGGTGAGCGTGGAGAAGTATGTGAGGTAGTCTGCGAGGCTGCCATCCAGGAAGTTCCATGGCATCCACCTGCACGCAGCAACATGGCAGCACGGCCACATTTGAGGCGTCCCAAGAGCACGTAGCAAGGGCACACCATCGCGGATGGGGTAAGCATGCATGCATGGCATGGCATGGCATGCAGTGTTGCAAGCAGCAGGGCATGGCATGGCATGCAGTGTTGCAAGCAGCAGGGCATGGCACGGAAGAGGCATGTGCAGAGAGAGGACTTACACTACACCAAGCCCCGTGAGCTTGGAGATGTCTGATGGGAAGCTCTTGCGCACGAGCCCTGCAGAGTCCAGGTTTCTGCACACATGCTCACACACACATGCGTACGTGCGCGCGCGCGCGCTCACACACACACATACACACACACACACACACACACACACACACACACACACACACACACACACATACACAAGTGATGGTGAGGGGGTGCATGAGTAAGAGTTCGACGGACAGTCGCAACACTGTGTAGGATGCTGCGCACAGCCACACACACATGCAGGGAGAGAAAGGAACGGTGAGGCAGCGCATATGCGGAAGCTCAATAGTTGAACTGGACCACGTTTTTGCCAGCCAGCCAAGATTGCTGCCAGTAACAATACCCTGTGTGGCCTAGCCCACTGGGTGAACACCAAGTGCCTTGCATTGCACCTACACTCACACCCTCCTTTGCCACTGGCGCTCCCTTGCTGCCAGCACTCACACCCTCCCTTCACTGCCTGCACTCACATGCTTCCTTTGTTAGACCTGCACTCACAGCACGTAAGCGCGGCCGAAAGGGGTGCAGGTTACACGCTCCCACTCGCCCGCTTTGCCAGCGGCGCCTTCAAGCGTGCACGGATTGGTGGCGGCCCACGAGGTGTAGGTGAGTCCCATGGCCGACTTGATGTTCAGCAGGGCCGACGCTGATCATGGTTGGCAGGTGGGAGAGGAGGGGACGAGACGGGGAATAGGAGGGGAGGGGAAGGCACACACATTGGTGGCGGCCCACGTGGAGTATGTGAGGCTCATAGCCCTTGATGAGAAAACGGGAAAGGAAGGGGATGAGAGAGGGAATGGGAGGGGAGGGAGGAGAGGAAAGGGAAGTGAATGGGGAAGGACAAGGGGAGGGCAGTGGAGGAGGGAAGTAGAACTATCAAGAACAGCGGCGGGGATCCATGTCACGAACCAATGAGAACGCAGGCGTGAGCACCCACCAATGGGAACTTAACCAGGTGCGAGCACTCACCAATGGGAACTTAACCAGGTGCGAGAACTCACCAATGGGAACTTAACCAGGTGCGAGCACTCACCAATGGGAACTTAACCTTTTGTGAGCACTCACCAATGGGAACTTAACCAGGTGCGAGCACTCACCAATGGGAACTTAACCAGGTGCGAGCACTCACCGATGGGACCTCTCAAACAGTACTCACCGATGGGACCTCTCAAACAGTACTCACAGATGGGACCTCTCAAACAGTACTCACCGATGGGACCTCTCAAACAGTACTCACCGATGGGACCTCTCAAACAGTACTCACCGATGGGACCTCTCAAACAGTACTCACCGATGGGACCTCTCAAACAGTACTCACCGATGGAACCTCTCAAACAGTACTCACCGATGGGACCTCTCAAACAGTACCCACCGATGGGACCTCTCAAACAGTACTCACCGATGGGACCTCTCAAACAGTACCCACTCACCATCTCCCGCATTCATGTAGAGAGGGCCGCCCACACACGCCATGGGCAGCACGGGCTGCGTCGGCAAGTTCACAGCGCCGGTATTGACGGCTGAACCCGAGTCCACTGTGCACACCCCTCCCGCCGCACAGAAGGGCCTCACGCCGTTGGTGGTGCCGCAGAAGGCACAATCCGCTGCAGGCCTCTGGGCGGAGCCTCCGCTGGTGCACTTGGAGGGCGTCAGCAGGCAGTTGCCCGCGCCCCCGCACCACGTGTAGCTGGCTGTGGGCACGTCTGTGAGGAAGTTGCCGCGCACGTCCAGAGTGAGCAGCCCAGAGGCGAGCGCTGGCACAGTGCCGATGAAGTAGTTGTAGACCGCACCGCTGGGAAGAGGGAAGGGCAGCGGAAGGGAAAATGCATCGCGGGAATTTGTAAGGAGTGGGCAGACGGGGTTGCACCTTCACTCGTAGTGGAACAGCTGCAAATAACAAGTTTCGGAAACGCTTGAAGCTAATAAAACAAAAATTAATTCTATAAACTCCTGGAAAATGTTCCAGTATGTGTCTCAAGATCAGACTTACAACTGAGTGAGTTTCGGGAGGCCCACGAGGAAGGAGGGAATTTCTCCGTATAAGTAGTTGTAATGCAGGCGGCTGCAATAGGGGCGGAAGGGAACTGATGAGGGCCCAACGGGATGGCAGCATGAGGAAAAAAATATTCCATGATTGATCCAGAAAAGGGAGTGCGTGAATATACGAGGCAAGACAGACAACACCGCCCTTCGCCTGCCCTCTTAACTCTCTTCGGTTTCCGTGAGTTGAATTTTGAGGCGCCTAAAAAATTTTGAAGATTTTTGAGGCGTCTCAAAAGTTGAATTCTAAGGCGCCTCAAACTTCAACTCAAGACAGACAACACCGCCCTTTGCCTGCCCTCTCAACCCTCTTCGGTTGCCAACAGCCACACTCTGACTGACTTGGCACTCACATGTCGGCCAGCAGCACTCACATGTCGGCCAGCAGCACTCACATGTCGGCCAGCAGCACTCACATGTCGGCTAGCAGCACTCACATGTCGGCCAGCAGCACTCACATGTCGGCCAGCAGCACTCACATGTCGGCCAGCACTGGCAAGGCTCGGAGGTTGGTGGTGAAGGAGTCGATGCGGTAGCTGAGGAGATTGCCCTGCAGGTTGCTGTGGGGAAGAGGGGCGAGCAGGGGGTGCAAGAGGCATGGTTGTTACGCTTGAATTCTGACTGGACGCATCCTGACTCAACTAGGCAATGTCGTAGAGAATTTGGAGCGTGGCTAAGATAGGATAGATGAAGCAGCGGATAGTGAGTGCTGTGTTTTGAGTCGACTCAAAAGACACAACTCACAGGTAAGTGAGGGCTGTGAGCGTGGAGATGTCCGAAGCAAGTGATCCCTTGAGCTTCGAGTTAGCCACAGCCCTGAGGTGCACAACGGTTGGTGGCAGGACAGAGCGATGGAGGATACGTGCAAGGGCGGGTGAGCAGATGAATATGGTATGCAGGTACGGCAGGCAACGCCTGGAAGCAGTATCACAGTGGCCAAAGGAAGCACCCAGTCATTGGGCACGCTGCCTATTGTTTAGGCGCCTCAAAAAAGGAAGCACCCACTCACCAGGCACACTGTCTCGCATGCCCTCACAGCATCGCTCATGCACCGGCTCTTTTCATTCACATGCCACAAGGACATGCACGAACCACTGGCATGTTTGATAAATTGATTATCAATGAAGTGCCAATGGCGATTTACATGCCCAATATGCCGACTCACATGCTCACGACCCTCCCAGTGCTGTCACACAGCACGCCACTCCACACTGCAGCCGTGGTGGTCTGCCCCGCAAGTTGGCACGGCACAGTGGCCGCCCACGTGGTGAGGGTGACACCCAGCGAGGCCTTGAGGGCGAGCATGGCTGGTGCGGGGCACGCGGGGGATGGAGGAGGGATGAGGCGCACGCAGGGGATGGGCCAGCAAGGCGGGAAGCAGGCGGTTGGGGGACGCCCTGAGGAGCACGTCAGCAAGTGGACGGGGTTGCATGGGCCCTATGGTGTGGGCACTTTTCCGGGCAGCTTTTATGCGGCAAGGCAACGGCACTCGGCCATCGCATCACACATCCCCAATGAGGCCTGACGCGCAATGCCCATCTGTTGTGCTTGCAGACATCTGGTGCTGACCTGCCCTCCCAGCAACAAAACGTGGCACTCACTGACAGGCATACAATGCGGTCAACAGCCAGCCATGCACAGTGCACAGCCCATGCCACGCCACCTCCTCCCTGTCCCCTGCCCCCTGCCCCCTGCCCGCTCCCCCCTGCCCCCTGCCCCCTGCCCCCTGCCCCCTGCCCCCTGCCCCCTGCCCCCTGCCCCCTGCCCACCTGTGGTGTCTTTCAAGGCCACAACCGGCCCGCCCACGCACGCCCTGGGGAGCGTGGGCTGCGAATTCGGGTTCGTAGTGCCGGCAGCCACGGCTGCGGCCGCGTCAGGCGTGCACACCCCTCCCGCTCCCCAGCAGAACGGAGGTGCGCCGTTGGTGGTGCCGCAGAAGGCACAATCCGCCGCAACCCGCTGAACCGTGCCGCCGGTGGTGCACTTGGAGGGCGTGACGAGGCAGTTGAGATTGCCTCCGCACCACGTGTAGGCCGCGGATGGGAGGTCGGAGATAAAGTTGAAGTTGAGGTCCAATACGAGCAGCAGAGGGCCGAGTGGCGGCACAGTTCCTATGAGATAGTTGCCGGGAGCGCCGCTGGTGAAGGGAGAGAACAGCGCAGTGAGGTGGGAAACAAAGGAGGGGGAACGAGAGGGGGGGGACGAAGGGCAGTACAAGGAGTGAGCAGGCAGAGAATAGGACGAGGCAGGCGATTGTTCGTTTCAACGCAACACGAAGCAACATAGCGCAACACGAAGCAACACAGCAAAACACGAAGCAACATAGCGCAACACGAAGCAACACGTGCATGATATCCTGACCTCCCCGACAGACTAACAAGTGACCTGCATCCCAGCAGCACACTACCATCCCTGCATGTTTTCGCCAACATGTGTACAGCTGACTATTATGCATTTCCAGCAGACTTACAACTGGGTGAGCTTCGGGAGGCCCACTAGATACGCGGGGATTTCACCGTAAAGGTAGTTGTAGTG